TTCGTTTTTTTTTTTTTTTTTTACCAAGAATGCCCGCCAGAGTTCTGAAACGAGAAATAGCGGGATGGCTGATGGGTTCTTGAAAGAGTTTCTCGAATGTCATTTGGTAATCGGTTCTTAAATTTGATGGGAGAGTGAGGATTTTTCGTGTTAGATCGTGTCATTTTAAACGTCGGATCTCTGATAGTGAAATTGACTGATCTGAATGAAACGTCAAATTTCTGAGGTTTTTCGTATTAATTTATTGATAAGCTACTGTTGAGGAATCCAAGAGTAGTTTTTGTTTGAGTTTGAAAAACAATTTTCACTCTTCCATGAAAAATATTACACGATTTAAATATTGGAGGTTTATGCCAGACGAAAATTCAAATTTTCGTTTAGAGTACTTTTGTTTCTTCTTCTTATACGTGCTAAGTTCAGGTGGTGATATATTAGATCATTTAGAGTATTTTTTACAGGATTTAGAAAACGTAGGTTTATCAATTGAACTGCAAATATATCTGGAAAACGTAATTGTTTCAACATTACAATTTAATAGTAGACGAGGAAATAATTTCTTTAAACTGTATCTCACTTTACGAAAGGTTTGCTGTTGCATTTCTATTCTCCAATTTCAATGAAATTTTTCTCACTTGTTGACAAGTGAAAATATTACAGAATCACCTTCTTTTCCTGGATATTTGTTAATTGCAGTTTATGCAAATTTTCATCTTAGAATTCTCCTAAATACAACAGTACCATTGATAATACGAATAATCGTGACACAACTGCTTCTAATTTTTTGGATACAATCACAATCCTTTTACATTTAATTAGGGTAATTGTGCATGCAGTTATATGCACGTAACGTGTAACAATTTTTCATTATTATTCATCTGGAACACTGCCGGTTCCACCTCTCTCTTTCTTCTTCTTTTCCCTAAGAAAGATCTTAACAAGTTTCAAGATTGTTTGCACGTAAAATCACATTGCTTTCGAAGAGTACATAAAACTTGAAGAGACTACTCTGAAACTTTCTGAGACTTCCTCGCGAACTGACCACTTTGAACCCACTTCTTGAAATTACAAAATGAAAAAGCATCAAAAGCCTCTCTCCGCATGAACTTTCCTTTTACCGGATAAAATATTCAGTTTCAATATTAACTTCTTACAATAAGAATACATATACCCAAGGGAGGCCCTTTGTGAACTTACTAAATAATTGAAATCTTCTTAAATAGACGCGAAGATCGTGTACTACGACCGGTATTTCACCTTTTAACAACCAAACATTCGTCGCGATTACATTTCACCCGATCTAACAGATAAAACCCTAAAGCTAAAAATGTTGAAATTGAAATTCTAAAGCTCTCTAGTTAAATTGAACGGTAAATGTAACGTGCTACTTAAAAATCCTGAACCTCGAAATTTAAATCGAAATGTTCCTCATGAACCGTAAAAATCTTCAAAAACGAAAATGAGGAACTTAACATTTGCATAGGATCAAAGCAGAGTGCATTTAAAAATGCAAGCGTAACTTATTTTCGACATTTTGTCACATCTCATTTTTCCAGCACTTAATCAAATTACCAACACGTCTCGTTTAAATTTTACCACATCCCATTTCTCGTTTCACCTCTCGCTCCACGGAACATTAATTTCAGTGTAACAAATGAAAAATAATAAAAATTTGCAGAGAATAAAAAGAAAGGAAGCACGATATCGATCAATTAAAAATTGTTTCCATTAGAGCGTAACTTTATTAATCACAAGTTATACAGAATAATGGAGACTGATCACGTTAGAATTAATCGAAGGGTGCATCAAACCGAAGATTGATTGATAGATTCTAAGCTTGAAATTTATCGAGCTAACCATTAACTTAACATATCAGCTCATCTCTCGCGCTAGTTAATGCCGTCAGGATTATCTGAAATTAATTTAACAAAATAACAGGCGGTGGTTATTCTACGTGGAACGGCTGACGTTGCGTAAACACCAGGTAACGTACACGTTAAAGGACGCAACGTTGTTGTTGGTATCGATCCACGATACTACGATAGGAGTGTTCTTGGCCGGCACTGGAACATAGACCAAGTGTTTGATGTCAATTTCGGCTGGAACTTTATGAATGTTTATCGACTAGATGAAACTGAATGACCAATTGCTATTCTTTGATATGGAACATTTTTGTGATTCGATTAAATTGGTCATTTTTAGTTTGGTGGCTAAATTGTAAATATTGGATAAAGTGTGTAAGAAAGTGAAAAGATATTTGTGTATTATTATTAAGACGATCAAATTTGAATAAGACTCTTCTGAAACGAAACTGAATATTATTAACGCATCGATAATTGTATTGCATTGGAAAGATTTTTTCTTTATTTTGCAACTTTAATAATCGATTCACGTGAAGATTTATGCTCTTAAGTGAAATAATTTCTGCGGTAAAAGTATTTTAAACTTCTTCTTTCTACCTTCATTTCAACTTACGAAAATGAATTCAAATATATGTCCGAAGTAACTGAGCATCCTAAAAGTTGGCTAAGGATAATAACACTTTGCAGGAAAATGTTATCCTTTTCATTCGATACTTCCGAGAGAAAGAGAGAAGTGGAAATTTTCTTTTTGAAAGAATTCTCGAGTATTCGTAAAATTTTGCTAACCATTTCGCACGTTTGCTGTTGCAGATTACCAAATGGGCACATTAATTTCGAGAAATTTTGGCAACTGGCGAAGCAGGTAACAGAATTCATCGCCTGGAAACAAGTTGCTTGTCCGTTTGAGAAAAGTCCACGTGTCATTGCTTTTCTTCAGGCGAGCCCGGTGCTGACTGAAAATGGTAAAATACCTTCGTTCCTTTCCCTTTAATGATAAAAAAAGAAAAGAACTAACGTGTAATCTACAAAGAAATAATTAATATCTACGCAATAACATTATTAAAATGTTGAAACGTTAAGATACCTCTGTTCAAATAATTCATAGATTATTTTCTAATTAATAATGAACTATTCTTCACTTGTTAATACATGGAAATAAAGTAGGAAAATAAATTTTCATTCATCCGTAATTTTCTTGAAACAGGTCACTATAATTTCTACCTTTTTCCATAACATAGCTCTAGCTTTGGCATCCTTCGAGTGCGAACCACCAGACAACAATCCAGAAAAAGAACGTTACAAAGCATTGAAGTAAGTATTCGACGAATATCTAACACCTACTGTTTGCCAATAAAAAAAGAAATTTAATATCTCGTAAAATTTCACACGGAAAATAATTCGACTCGGCTATCAAAGCATCGAATTGCATCGATTTGCATATCCCAAAAGTGTCTTCAATTTACACGATAATTCTCCAAATACCGACGAAATTGCAATTTCCTTCGGAATACAATCTAAATCATTCCCCCTTCTTCTTGATACCCTGTCGACAGGTCTGAACTGAATGCCCAGTGAAAACGAGTGACCATACACCGCGTCGAATGGGAACGATATTGAGACAGACGCGCTCTTCTAAAACTACGTTTCCAGACATTAATCACGCACGAATCTCTCCTAAGAAGAAGCAAATCGAGAGGAAGGAACCATCCAACGAAAGCATAGAAAAAGGGAAGAGCGAGAGAGAAGAATATCCGAATGGTAAACGAGAGACCAGCACGATATCACGAGATGCAAAAAAGAAAAAGAAGCGAGAAGAAGAATCGAGAATGTGCAGCGATTTGCTCGCGATCAGCAAAAGGGAGAGGATTGAGAAAAGAAGAATTTCATCGTAGTGGTCTCGCGTACGTCGTTTAAGGACATCGTTTAGGTACTGTAGAAAGAGATCGGTGCAGTCGTCCTCGATATTCTTCACCAAAGCCATAACTTCATTTCCACCGTAACAACACTTCATTTCCCTTGACCGCGTGTGTATCATCGTTCAATCTCTGCACACTCCAGCACACACCTCGCGATACTTTTCTTCACGCCTACACCACACGTATACACATACATATATATAATATACAAACAGCGTATACGTGAATCCCCCATTCCTATATCGTGCGTTCTACTTGCACTCTGAAAACACTCCACAAGGGAGAACTACTCGAAGAGATGATCCTCCCTGTGGTTCTATGAGAGAACACTTCACGTAGAGAGAAGCGATTCTGAAATTCCGAAAGTTCGAACAGAGGAAACTGAGACCGATTGCACCGGTCCTGTCTCCTTCGTCTACGGATCAAGCCGAGAGAGAGAGAGAGAGAGAGAGAGAGAGAGAGATTCTCTGGTAGGAACCGGAAATCGAACTGGTCCGCTAGAACGAGCACGAAAAGAAAAAAAAAATAAATTCACTGAACAGTATCGCGTAGCAGTAAGTATAGTTCCTAAGCCCGAGGCCATGAGGATCAGAGTGTTCCTCGAGTCGCGACTGTCGACGACCATTCGAGAGATCGGCTATGCCCCATGGTCGACCCTTTTGTACATAGTCCTTTTGATATACGCTAACGAAACTCCTAGGTGTGAACAGAGGATAATGGAAAATGATAAAAAAAGAAGAAATAGGTTCGTTCCTGTAGAGTAAGCTCGAACGTTGTCGTTTTAAGGTTCTATGATACACGTAGTAGCAGACGACGGTCGTCGTGCACGTACTTAACGAACGAGAGAAAGAGAGAGAGAGAGAGAGAGAGGAGAGAAACGTTTGACGCGATCAGAAAGAGAGAAAGGACACGACTCCGCTAGTAACGCACACGGTTCTGCCGTTTGCAGCTTTTCAGAAAGCGTTTCCATTGTTCCGACGTTGACGGTGCCGTTTGGTTTTTTTCTTTTTTTTTTTTTTTTCGAAGGTTCGCACAGTGACGCGCGCGAGATTAGAATTTTTTTCACATATATTTGCCCCGAATTTTTCGTGGAAAAGAAAAGGAAAAGAAAACGGTCGCGTGTAGAGGTGTAGATCTTTTCCTTTTTTTTCTCTCGGTGGTCCGTTTGACTCGCGTCAGTGGGTGGGTGTGGTGGTTGACGTTGTTGAAGATGTGTTTGTGAAGTTTTACGTGGCAGATTTTAAGGTGATTTCCGAATATCGTTGGGAGCTTAACGATGAAAGTTTTTCGATTAACGTCGAGTTACGGTGTAACCGAGAATTAAGCGAGGTAATTATTAGAGAAGCTTAATCGTACGAAAATATTTTACACGGAGAATCTTTTTCACTTGTCCAGTCAGTTTGTACATTCTTACAAAAAACTAGAACACATTCGTATTTCCTTTTCTTCTTCTTTATAAAATATCGACGTTATTAGAGAAGAAACATTTCCAACACGCGTGTCACCGTTAAAACATGGTTTCGTATTTTTCCTCGACAAGGATCTCGACTGTGTTCGTTCGTCCCCGAGACTATTCGAAGGAAGGAAAATCGATCGAGTCGAGATCCGTCGAGCAAGCAAGCTGCAGCGACGATTTTGTTCCGTTTATTCTCCGGACTGAACCTCGCGATAGACAAGAGGAATCGCAGAGATAAGCAGATGAGGTGGGGAGGGATTTTGAGAAAAAAATAGGGACCAAGAGTTCGTTTTTCCGTGAATGGAACCGAGAGGTCGCGATCGATTCGTCGCGATCCAATGTCACAAGGGAATGGAAGGAATAAGAAAGCAGACTGTCGAACTTTCCGCTCGCTAATCCGCAGGTTCGCGTACTGAGAGAAACACCTTTGCAGTCATTAGGCATTTAAGTAGACGATTCGTGTACAGTTTATTAGATATGATCTTGAGCTACGTACAACGTGTTGAATATCTTTTCTTTCTGTGCAGGATGATGCGTGTGAATCGACGATTCGATCGTTCATACGGTACGTGAAAAAGGCTGTCTCGTAGTTCAAAAATTGCGACAGCACGCGTTTCACGTTAAAATTTATCGTAACGTTCTTTTATACCAATCTGCTAATTTATAGGAACGTATTATTGTGCGTTTCTTTCTCTGCACCGTGCACCGCGAGTTCTTTTTAAGACAAGACTTTTAACGACATATTCGGTGAATATGTACAAATCCTTCATTTTTTTTTTTTTTTTCTTTCTATTCATTATTTCGTTGTATAGATTTTAACTAAGAGGTAACGTTTAAGCTACGCGAATCAAAGGCAGCTCTTCTTGCCTTCAATTTTTACCTTATATATTTAGCGTAACTTTGTTTTCTTTTGTTTACTGTTCCTACGTTATTTATACGATCATATTTTGTTCGGTGTAACGTTATTACTTTTAATCTCGCCGAATATTTTTCTACACTTCTCCGTCGCGCACGGCTAATAACGTGAAGATGTTTATTGAATTATTTATACCGATCTGTTTTAAAGGACACGCTGTTTCAAAGAGTAATCAGCGTTCACCTTAGTCGTTTAGCAGTGTTGACAAAATATGTTTTTCGCTCTGTCGTTCTCTCAGTACGAGAAACAAACCGAGAAACGAATGTGTATCATATGCAACAGAGTAGCGTCGTATGTACGAGGACGAACCAGAGTCTACGCGAAGAACGCGTAATAAAGAAAGTATAATTCATCGATCGAGCCGCCAAAATCGGGGCCCCATTAAACGCCAGACTCCTTTTTCTAAAAACTATTCGATGAAAGTTCATCATTGATCACTCTGAGATATTTCAACAGTATTAGAATCTATCTTCTTTTACCGTACATTTTATTCACGTTTGGATAAGTTTTCTTTAATGAAAGTTATCCTACTCGTTACGATGAAAGTGCTAAACAGTTGGAAAGACAACTGGAATTTTGATCTCGAATCGATTCAATTTTAATTCAACCTTCTAGAATGCAGTTTTTATTCGTGTTAAATCTACCTCAAATATAGCGCGAGCTATTAATCAGCGTAACCTTGACCTAACACAAAGCCCGTTCAGTTTATCTCTGAACCTAATCCAGATTTAATTCAGACCTAAGTTATACCTAATCCAACGTAATCTAGTCCATCGTTGGACTTGATCAAAATGTAATTGAGTCGACTAATCAGTCTGATCTGAAACCAAATTCAGCTCGGTCGATTCCTCGATCCACTTGCCACTAATTAAAATCTACTTGAAATTGTCTATCGAGTACTGAAAAATTTGCTTTAACGCTACTCACCGACAAAAATAATCCAGCACTTTCGTCGTTACTCTATCGTTAGAATTTCACATACGCTACTTTCTATTTAACGTAGAAATTTGATCGTTTTAACGTTATCATTCATTCGTCCAAGCATCGAGCATCGTTTAAAAAAAAGAAATGATCCACTATGCAAGACACTCGACAACACACCTGTAAATATTCATGTGAATGTCTCATCTCTCTTACCTCGTCGATTTTATAAAACCTAGCACAAACGTGAAACAACTAAAAGTCTACCTGTGAAAAGAAAAACAAAAACGAAAAAAAAAAAAAAAAGAAAAGAAAAACATCGCTCAAGCCTGAATGAGAAAAGGAGTCCAGCAACGCGGTCGCCCCGTGTAACGTTCTCGCGTTAGAATTGTAACGAACTGTCGACAATTATCCATGCACGTTTATCATAAAAATCATACACGATTAACCGTACGAACTTATCGTAAGGATTAAATAGTTAACGAGTGTTACCGTGTAAGCGCGTCGGTTGTCGATATACCGAAACGAAAGGAAACTCTGTCGGAACAGGAAAAACCAGCATTCAGAACGATCCATCAACTTGCCAGGTCAGTGTTCGACGAGAAACGCCACCGTTCTCTCCCCCAAAACGAGACGTACGCTCTCTCCTGTACAACACGTACAACGTAAGGAGAGAATTTCATGCGAGTAACAGGGGAGAGAATTTCACGCGGGTCTCGTGGAAGTAGCCGCTCGATTCTCTTTCGAAGACGTCTCTCGATCGATCGCTCGCCGCTCTTCGTCGCGAAATTTCCTACAGATCCCCTTTTTCCACGATTTCGCCCTGATACGAAAGCGTGGAGAAAATGCGCGAGAGTGAAACACACCAGGCCTGCTATCTTCGACGACGATTTGCCTGGGTAATCGATCGAGCGTCGCGCGAAACTGATTTTCACACCGTGAAGAGAAAAGTATAAAAGAGAAAGAGAGAGAGAGAGAGGATGTTGAAGAAATGAAAACGCAGCCGCGCGTCTCTGCCCCGTTCATAAAGATTACGCGAGGACATTGAACTACGTAACGAAACACCGTACATGTTGCGATTCTGTACATAAGAGGAAAGTCGTGTATATATATATAATTATATGACATATAAACATATGCGTATATCTATGCGTTATCTAGGATGTAAGGTTGGATAGGCCGTAATCGAATTTAATGGAAGAGCCACGGCGTGGAGATTCGTGTGAGAATAATGGCTAGGATGAGGCGTTGTTCTTCTGTGCTCTCTCGCACGCCGTCGTGCGTCGACGTCGAAAAAGGCCTGTCGACCACGCTAATCGCCGATCGATCGATCCCGAGATCGCCTAACGATACCTTCTAGTACACACGAACTACTTTCATCTTTGAATGATTGATTGATTGATTGATTGATTGATTGATTGATTGATTGATTGATTGATTGATTGATTGATTGATTGATTGATTGATTGATTGATTGATTGATTGATTGATTGATTGATTGATTGATTGATTG